ACAAGGGTGTTCAGTTACATCGACTCAGTGTTTGGAATGGGCAGCAATCTATTTTTTTTCGTTATTGAATGAAAGATTAATTTTTGCCCCATGCCAAACCCTAAGTCAATCTAGCATAATAAATTATTTTAGGTCGCTTTACTTCATATTTACCCACAATTTAACATCTTTAAATTATTAATAATTTATAAATGTTCAAAATTTGTAATGTTAAATTGTGCAATTAAGTACACACATACTCAACCCACACACCACCCCATCCCCCACTCATGTACCCACATCAACAAACACACACACAGATATATATATATATAAACGTACCTAATATGTATATATATATATATATATATATATATATATATATATATATATATATATATATATATATATATATATATATATATATATATATATATATATATATATATATATTAAGTAATATAAATAAGTATATATATATATGTGACATGAAATTTCTAAATCAATTAAACACTAGATTGTTATCGTTGGAAAATGATCAAAATTGAACAATTCAACAAAAAGTTATTTTTTTGGTACCGAATTTTTGCTATATGGATTTCTTGAAAAAACTGTGATTTTTCAAGAAATCCATATATAAAAAAATTTTATTTTTTTTTAACTTAAAACGTGATAACTTGGTCAGTTCTTATCAAAATGCATACAAGTTAGTATCAAAAAATAAGGTCTAACAAAGAGCAATATGTAAATAGAAAGGGTGTATGAAGGGCGCTAGAGGGGCGTCTACAAACTCTTTATTACATTGAAAAATATAGATTTTTGAAAAGAAAATATTATTATTTTATTGAAATTTATAAACTTTTAATTGTATTTTATAATATATTCTAACAGGGTACCATCAAATATGGTTTGAACACTTTAGATTGATTGAATAGAAGTCCTTTTGGCTTCGGGCGCACCCTCTATAGCGCCAGCTATCAAATATCAAGTTTATTACTTTGTATCTTCATGCACCTATTAATAGGCGTATATATATATGTATAGTTGTTTATTACTAAATTCCCGAATTCTTTGCCATCCCTTCTGCCACCAGGAGGTTTGTATTTAAAATGAGGCATGTCTTTACCTCCATTCTGGGCCTATATTCTGAAGGCCCTTTTTGATTTGGGCCCAGGGTGGCTTCGGCGCCAAACAAAGAAATCGCTCTTAGACAAGCCTATATTAAAAAAAGATAATAATAAATAAAAATGAAAAACAAAAATTAAAACACAGTAAAAGACTTACCGAAGATGTCTTGATTTGCATTTTGGGCATCAGATGGCAGTGATGACGTTGATGATGCTGGTAAATTTAATTTTTTAAATTTATAATTTGAAATAAGTTTAATAAAAATTATGAAAAATAGTGTAAACCTATTTAAAATTTTTTCTTTAAACAAACAAAGAAAAAAAATAATAAAATACTGGTCTGCATTAAATGCTCTCCAGCAGCTAAATGAATAAAAAGTCTATTTTAGCTCAATTTATAATTTATCATATATATACTAACGCAGCATTTTTTGCAACAATAAATAATCCTACCATAAATTTCCTTTCTTTTAGCTGAAAAAAAAGTTTTTGAAATTATTTTCTTTTAGTAAAAAAACATTAAAAAAAACAAATTTACAACTTCATTAAGATATACCAACCAAGTTCCTCCCTTTTGCGAGCTAAAAAAATACATTTTAATGAAACATTGGATTTAACATATAAGATTTTATAAGTGAATTTAAAATTATTTTTGTCCATCTTTTGATATGGACATTGAAAGCATAACGTGAAAATAAAAATTGCAGCAGACAATATTGAGGTTTGATAACTGCGTGAAACCCTTTTCTCACGATTCTCTCCCTCCCCATTGTCATTTTTTGTCCTTTTTATCTTGATCCCTCTCCCTCCCCCTTTTGAATGATGTCCTTTGAGAATGGCTCCATAGCTTCTTTTTTGATTTTTTTTAAAAATTAAAATTAAATAATTTTCTATTTAAATGGACATGTTACAAGCATTGATTAACGCTCCGCTGGACGCAGTCTTTTTTCAACTTGAGAAGCCATGTTGTATCAAACTGATACAATACGTCTGAAACTGTTTTAATCAAAAAATAACGGTGAAAAAAAAGTCAAAAATTTAGCTATAAGCTTTTAGAACCATTTAACTGTGCTTAAACCATTGTGCTCAAACCATTAAACCATTTAGTTGCGCTTTTTGAGGTAAAACTAAAGAGAAAAGAAAAAAAACGGTTACTAAAAAACAGAACACCAAGTCAATACTACAAAACACAAACACGATAATAATGATTGGCTTGTATCAATTTAAACAACCACGACCGCCGGAGGGTTAAATAACTTTGTCTTGGCTTTTAGTAATTGATTAAAATACTAAGTTTCATTATTAATGAAACTATACAATAATCATTTTTAGCAATAGACACCAAGTGAAAGCAAGCCAGAGCCGTCTATCAAAAAAAGTCAACTCCTTTCAATAATTCTGTCAAACATAACATCTTCCAAATCATCAAGATGCTAGGTTGACAAGTGTTTAAATTTATTCTTTATTTCAATAAAAGTTATTTACGACAGGACTCTTTCTATTTGTCTTTTTCTCTTTTCATCCATTTTTTGGTGTTTTGAAATCTCCAAGAAATCTGAACTCTAATTTCAGCATATTGCAGTCGATTTCACTTTCTTTTATTTCGTGTAATGGACCACTTAACACCTTATTTTCTAGACAGTTGGTCTAGACTGTATAAATAATCTACAGTCTTATTCTTTTTACATCTTAATTTGCAAGTAACATATTGTGGCATTTGCAAAACTTTTTTCACTATCTGAATACAAAAATATGATTAAAAGTTGCATCCTCAGCTGAAACAAAACTTTTTCATCCAAAGCCCAGTAATGAGTTTTTACAAACAATTCAAGCACGCACATTTCTTTTATGGCAGTTTTATTACAAAATGCAACTCTTAGAGTTGCTACCAAACTTTTACATTTTACTCAACAGTAAGGAAATGTTTAAGCTCACTCTAATGTTTCATAAAAATAAAACAAGTTAGAAATATGAAGCCAATTTCCACGATATCTTGGAATAATACTCCGTGGTAGATAGTTTTCATCTAAAAAACTTACAAATCTATTTGGATTACCTTTGACGTCTATAAAACTCATTTTGTTCATGGCTAAAATAATTTTAACTGCAATTCAATCATTTCCAAATAATTGCCAACTCTCACTCGACTGTAACGCTGAGCAACATGAAACTACAATTGTGTCAAGAGGGTGCAAATGGCAGTTCAGCACATTCAAATTATTGTATCTATTATTTTTATCATATTTTAAATATAAAACTCTTATACATAATTATATTAGCTACTTATTGTTAGATTATTTATTTTGATATATTATAATATATAATATTTATTTTCATTATTGTTATCATTTTTTTAGTTTACATTTCTTAATTTTTATTTAGTTTTTTACACATTTAATTTAATTTTATAATTTTAATCAATGTTTTATTGTTGTTATACCAATTTATTTGTTTCGCTGTTGTGTTATTGTTTAAACTATCATTATTAATATTATTTATTATAATTGTTAGTGTTTCCATATTGTAATTGCTTGTTCCTAATATTCTTACAATCTTAATCTTATTCATTAGTATTAAGTTGCCTTGTGAAGATACCAAAGAAAGTTGATAAGAAGATAGTTTGGACCAAAGATAAGAAAGAAAGTTGCCTCGTGAAGATACCAAAAGTTTAGTGAGCCAATTGGAATCCGTATTTAGGGAGCATGGTCCACCGCAAGAACTGTTGATGGATAATGGAGCGGTGTTCAGTGAATCCAATGAATTTTCAAGCGTATGTGAAAAATGATGTGTGAAAAAGAAGTATAGATGTGCATATAAACCATCATGAAATGGAAAAGTGGAGCGTAACCACCGCACGGTAAAACGAACAGCTGCGAGGGCACAAATATGTCCGTTGCTAGTGGTATTTTGGTACAATGCAACACCAACAATAGGAACAAACGAGGAATTTGCACCTGCTTCTCAAAAAAGTTAGTACGTTTGGCGTCTACCAATTCAAGAGGAGAAAACAACTGAAACTCAAGAAAGATCACAACGAGTTATAGAAACTTATAAAATTGGGGAAAAAGTTTATGTTCGCCCCGCTGATACAAAGTGCACTTCAAATTGGAAAATTGGTACTGTAATTGACAAACACAAATATTGAAATTGATGGTATACCAAGACATGTGCAAGATGTGAAAATAACTCCTGCTTTAAATTCTTTAAACGCTTCAAGTAAAATTGGTATCAGTGAAGAGGTTGACAGTGATGAAAGTGATTTAGAAGACTTAGACATTTTTGCTGCACGAGACGAAGGAACTTAAGAAACAGTTGGTGACGCTGAGGAGCAAGCTGACGGCAGAGCAATTGTCAATAATTTAATACCAGCGATCAGACGATCAACCAGAGATAGCCGACATACTTAAATGTTACTTAAGAACTTTAGTTCTTGAGGTGATGTGATAATTGCTGATCGTTATAAAACTTTATTATGACGGTTATAAAATTCTTGTTATCAAAGTTATTGACGTAGTTTATTAGTCAAGTTATAAGCTATTTTTGTATATAACTACGCCAGAGGCGGCCCTAGGTTTTGCGGGGCCCTAGGCGAAAATTTTGAAGGGGGCCCCACCAAAAAATATCACATTAAAATTAAATAATTTTAAGTTTACACAGTGTACAATGTCAAAATTGCAACAATATGTCTGTGTAATGTGTGCTATTAAGTAAAATAAATTGCTCAAGGGCTTTGTAAGTGCAATTTATTACAAATAAATAACCACACAATAGAGCACATTAACAACAAAATTAAATGCACAAAGGCATTAAAAACTTTAAAATACTCAACTTCTTTTCACTAAACACAATAAAAACTATTAAATATAAACAATTTAATATCAGCAGTGGGTGTCTTTACAACAGGACCTTTCTACACTTCTGATTGCTGAATTCATTGATAAGTGTACTGTAATCCAGCTCGTTAGACACATCATTTTCAACTGATAACACAGCCAGTGCACTTAGTCTTTCCTGGCCCATGGTTGAACGCAGATAGGAATTAATAAGTTTTAATCTTGAGAAGCTGCGCTCTGCAGAGGCAACACTAACCGGAATTGTCAAAATTATACGAAGGACAATGAAGCAATTGGGGTACAGATCTTGCAAATCTTTTTCTATCAAAATCTTTAGAACAGTTGTGACAGTTGCATTGGTGGAGAATATTCTAGATAACATATCAAGCTCTTCAGAAAGTTCTAGGTCATCAATGTTATAAGAATTCTTGTCACTAAGAAGAAGGTGCAGATTGTTGCATTTCTTAACCAGCTCTTCCTTATTCAAGTTTTGCAGTTTTAAGATGTTGTAAAGGAAACCATAACTGCCTGCATATTCTTTAAAGGCCTGAAATCTTGATCTCATGGAGCTGATCACCATGTCTACCACTACAAGAAAGAATTTTATTTTGAAAAGTTCCTTGGGGTCAGCGAGTGGCTCATCTTCATGCTCATAGCTAAACATCCGCTTCTTCTTACAACAACGACAAGTTGTAAATTCCTTTGGGATGTCCATTTTTTCTGCTGTTTCATTTGCGGAAATGATGGCAGACTCGAATCCTGTATTGCGGAAATCTATCCATGACATGAAAGTGTCCAAATGGATTACAGCTTGGTTTAATTGCATATCATCTTTTTGCCACAGTTTGCTAATGCTGTTAACTTTTACCAGAATATAATACCAAACACAAACTTGAACTAAAAATGTATATGATGATATCAGTTCTGAATAAGATTCAGCTTCACATCGTATTTTTGCATCTCCCACACTAATGTCATGCACCTCATTTAGTGCATCACAGATTTCTTCTAACTGATATTTAACAGCCTTTACACTCTCAACACGACATTCCCAGCGAGTATCTGAAAGTGGTTTGAGTGTAATATTGACATGTTTAATAAGTATTGACCACCTTTTAGAAGATATTGAAAATAATGTATAGAGATTCTGGATAATTCCAAACATTCGTTCTGCTTGAACACAAGAAGAAGCTGCATCCCCGAGTATTAGATTCCAATTATGGCATCCACATGGAGTAAAAAAAACTCTTGGATTTTTTGAAGAATTCTTGTTTTTACTCCACATTTTTCTCCACGCATGTTTGCACCATTGTCATATCCCTGACCACGACAATTTGTCAAACCCAAGCCAAGATGTTTAGTGCTTGTTGAAGATTATTTGCTCGGTCCAAGCCAGTTGTTTCCTGAACAGCCATAAATCCAGTGAAATGCTCCTCTACACAACCGCTAGCATTGACAAAGCGCAATATCAAAGACATTTGTTCAATGTGATTAAGGTCATGTGTGCAGTCAAGAATAACGGAATAATATTTGTTGTTTTTGACACGTTGTACAATTTCCTTTACCACATTCTGACCCATGAGTTCAATGAGCTCGTTCTGTATTGTCTTTCCATGATAATGTGTTTTTATTTCTTTACTAGCAGCACATTTCATATGTTTCTGCATCACTCCATCAAAATTTCCCAACAATTTAACTAAGTCTATAAAATTACCACAGTGAATTGAGTCCAAATTTTCAGTATGTCCTCGGAAAGCAAGATTATGTGTTGCTAAAAACTGTGTGATAGCCAGTAGCCTTTCAAGCACATTCCGCCAGTATTGCTTCTCTTCATTAATTTGTCTCTGTGAGACACTATCAATAGTTCTGCCAGTTTTAAATCTGTTTTCGGTTTCACTCCATTGCAAGGAGCAGGACATATGATCTCGGCTGTTCTCATGTTGACGTAAGATGTTGCTGAGGTTCTTCCTGTCACAGATACCTTGATTTGCAATGCCTGCCTTTGTTGTTGAAAACAGTTTGCAATCAAAGCAAAACACACAACCCTTGCAACAAGAATATACCAGCCAACGTCTGTCCTGTTTTTCATTGTTCTTTAGGATTCTTGCGTAATAGAAGGATCTAAAGTAGTGGTTGTGGTTGTCTTTAGGAAAATTGGAATTGTCCTTTATCACATGTGCTAGTCCCTTCTGTATGACACTGAAGAATACGGTATCAGGAAGTGGTACAGGCCAAACTGCAGGATCATTCAGGTCAATATATGCGGTTTCCACTATTTCTTCATCTGAAGAAACATCCACTATGTCTTTCTCAGTAGAAACCTCCATTACTTCTTCCTCTAGAGAAACCTCCACTTCTTCTTCCTCCTCAACCTCGAGTAATGAAGTTGGTTTTTCCGTGAGACAGGATTCTAGGTCAAGCTCTGTACTTGTTGACATAGATGATGTTGGTTTAAATGTTTCAACATAACTGCCACTTGATTCAGCCACAACTTCTTCACTTGCAGAATCAGCGTCATAATGCTCTTCTTGATTATTCACACTGCTGCTTTCACCAACACATTGTCTGTCTGTTTTTTTTTTAATATTTTTCAAAGGAACCTACCAATTTTTTTTTTTCATACTCCCTTGCCTTTTGTTTTCTCCTTTTTTCAGCACCAGAGGTGTACTTTCTCCCGTGATCGCGATCTCTACCAGACATTCTGAATTCATTAAAATATACAGTGCTTCCAGAAAGAATTAGTAATTTTTTTTATTACAGACAGCTACAAATCAATTTGTAGTTGTCTGTAATAAACATTGTAAATATGTCTGTAATAAAAAATGTAAAGTAATTTTAATTACGAACTATTTTTTTTTTAATGAAAGGTAAAACCAATTAAATTTAATTAGAATGTCAAATATTTGTCAAACTACCTGTTTTTTTGATGAATATATACAGTGGGTGGCCATTGAAATAGGGCCACAGCATTTTTTATTGTATTTTAGGTATAAATGCTCCATTAAAACTTCATTATCCGTTTTCCTCATAATTATTTATATCTTTTTAATAAATTATTATGTTGACAACACTATTTTGTTACTGGCAACACTGTATTTAGCAGGTTTTGACAGATAAAATCGTTATATTGGGTTTAGTTGACATTGGTTGAGTATTGAAGACTGGTGATTCTGTTTCGAATATCTTTCTCCAAATGTTATTAAATTGTATTTTTCTATAAAATCTTTATTTTTTTTATGTATTATTAAATATTATACATTATTCCATTATAAAAATACCTTCTTTACTAGTGTTTTGTTATTTTTTGTACATTTTTGTTGCGTGATAAGATACTTTTCTTTTTACTTTAATTTGTGATAAGCTTTTGATAATGGGCAAGAATAAAGATGTAAACGATTGTAAAAAAAGTGACATTGAGTCTCTTTTGAGCAATACAAATTATTCTCAACGAGAATTATCGAGGAAAACTGGCGTTTCTAGACAGACTGTTCAAAGAATCGCAGCAAAAAATAAAAATGGTGCAAATCCAATACCATCATTTCGTCAGAACTGTCGAGGAAAACGCCTCACAACTCCAAGGTCTGAGAGAACTATTAGAAATATATGCTTGGAGAACAGGAAGAAGCCTAGAAGAGTCATTACTGCATTGATTAAAGATGCTGGAATCGACATAAATGACCGCACAGTCAGGCGGCGCTTGTGTGATCTGGGTTTCAAATGCTACCGTCCCGCTAAAAAGCCAAAATTAACGCCTGCCATGAAGAATAAAAGGTTGAAATGGGCCATAAAGCATCGTAATATGTCAATGGAGGATTGGCAAAAGGTATGTAATAAGTAAACATGTGAGTTTTTGCTTGTATCCCAAGTATTTCTAGTTAAATGATAAAAAATAAAAAAAATTTCAGGTGTGCTTTTCTGATGAGTCCACATTTCAAATCTTAGACGATAAGGCATCCTTTGTACGACAAAGGGTGGGGGAAAAATTCAATCCTGATTGCATTATCGAGACTGTAAAACATCCCTTATCAATAATGGTGTGGTCTGTTATATTTGGTAAGTACACAGGCAGGCTTTACATAGTACAAGGGACAAAGAGGCAGGACCAATACAAGCAGGTTTTGGAGCAAAGGCTTATTCCACAAGTCGCTGAATGGTTTCTGCATGGTGATTTTACATTCATGCAAGATTCTGCCCCATGCCACACTGCAAAATCAGTTAAAAAGTTTCTGCTAGAGAAAAATATATCACTATCGGATTGGCCAGGAAATTCCCCGGATCTCAATCCAATAGAAAATCTTTGGGAACTCTTAAAACAAGAGATTTCCAAAGAACTGATAATAAATAAAGGTCAGCTCATTGAAAAACTCATTGAGGGTTGGCATAGAAACCCTCACATAACAGAACTGGCTCAAAGATGCATTGACAGCATGCCAAGGAGAATAGAAGCTGTTATAGCTGCAAAGGGTGGATTCACCAAATATTGACTTAACTACTATTTTTTCAAAAAAAAACTTATACATCTTGTAATTTTATGTTTCAATTCTTTTAATTAAATATCATTTTATTAAAAACAATAACTTTTTATTATTAAAGTTTTTGCTATTTTGGGTAAAATTTCACAAAAAACTGGTAAAAACTCGGTGGCCCTAATTCAATGGCCACCCACTGTGTGTATATATATATATATATATATATATATATATATATATATATATATATATATATATATATATATATATATATATATATATATATATATATATATATATATATATATATATATATATATATATATATATATATATATATATATATATATATATATATATATATATATATATATATACAGTGGGTGGCCATTGAATTAGGGCCACCGAGTTTTTACCAGTTATATATATATATATATATATATATATATATATATATATATATATATATATATATATATATATAGATGCATATATTTTATATGTAAGTATCTTGATATCATGTTAAATTTTGTATTTTTTTTGTAGAAACATCAAAATGGGTCAACATTTTACATATCTCAAAAAAGATAACAGCATTATTCATACCCAAGAGTTTAAATTAAAATTTAGTGAAAGTGTTGGAGTAGATTGGAGAACTCTTGGATGTTGGTTAAGTATTAAAGATAACTATTTAGATATGATTAATCAAGATTACACCAAAACTAATGAAAAAGCGTATTTTATGTTGTCTAAATGGTTGCAAATGAATAAAAATCCAACACTTGAAGAGTTAAAAAGAGCTTTAAAGAACATGGAGAGAATTGATCTAATAAGAAAATTAGACGAATTAACAAGTAATTATTTTTTAAGTGTTAAATATAATGAAATATCAGATTTTTTATTAAGGTATAATTAATTTTCTTAAAAAGAATTTTTCTTTTTATGTATCCTTTCTTTTTCTATAAAACTGGCAACTTAAAGAAGTTTTCAAAATTAAAATCAAAATTAATTTGTAAAAATATTTTATTACTTGGTTCAAAATATCAGTTAATAAATACCAAAAACTTTTATCAATTTAAATTAATTTAAACAAATTTATCTCCAAAATATTTAATAACAAAATAAATATTAATAATAAACTTATAAACAGAATAAACTTAAAAAATAAAAACTAGTTTTTTGTTTGTTTTTCACCTCCCTAAGGCCAAGTGAGCGACTACAGTTGATTAGGCTATTATTTTTTTAATTATAAAATAAAGAAGAGGTTATTATTAAGGTAACTTAAAAGTAATTTTATTTTTACAGGTTATATAGGAAAAAACATCAGATAACTTGTTGTTGACAATTACACTTGAGTAATTTGAATATTCTTAATTTGAATATTCTTAAGTTTTGCAAAGCATCAATATTTTGCAAACATTTTGCTGGCAAACGTAAAAAAATCCTTTTTGTTTTCATAAAAGGAATCCTGAAAAAGATTGCACCTAGATTATATATTGGAATGATTGACAAAAAAAAATTGGAATTACCAGATAAGTTACCCTATGTCCTTAAACAACAATCTTTAGAACTCATAATATCAAATTCACACACGAAATGAAAAAGGTTTAAAGATTGAAGATCTAAAATCATGTCTCCTTATATAAACTGATGCTGAAGTTTGTCTTGTGGGTGAAACATGTCAAAAACAGCATGTTTTCAGTCACCAAAGCAAGTCCTTTAAAAAAGTAAAATAAGGAGGACATGAAAAACTATTGCTATTGAAAGAAAAAAAATAAAAACTGAAATGACTTGTAACTTTTGGGATGGTAATTTTATTGGTCTTTGGTTTAAAACCTTACTAAATTTGTTTGGTATAAAATCTTCATTTTATTAAAGGTATTTTGCGTTTGATGAATTACATAAAATTAAGCATATTACTTTTAATTGTACACACTGGAATGGTTATATACAAACTAATTTGTATGGTTGCCATAGTTTATGATATCATAATCATTTTCGTATTACACTTCAAAGAAGTTTTAATTTTCTTTTTTAAATGTTAGTAGTAAAAGGGATCCCCAAGTGCAAGAAACAATTTGTGTTTATATAAAAGAAAATGATAAAAATGTTTGGGCTAAATTTTTTTGATTAAAATTAAATAATAAATGCATATCTAAAACTAAAATTGCTGCTTTAGTCAAAGCTTGCCTTCTCCATTTTTTCTTTGTTCTTGAAGTCTTTGAAATATATGCCACAATCTGCAGACAAGATAATTTATTTCATGCGTGTTTAATTCTTAACCGTTTCAGTATATGACATCACTGTGTAATTACTTTTTTTTTTAAGCTGTTGAAGTTTTTTTTGTTCAACAATCTAAAATTCATATTTATTTGTATAATTTTACACTAAATTCTAAAAAATATTCATAATACAATTAAAAATAAAAGAATATATATTTGGTTTTGAGATTTCAGTAGTGCATCTTGTTTTTAACAATTGTACTTATAAATCTTTATCTAGATTTTATCTATATTAAAAAGTTTGCATGCTAACACACATCTTAATGAAATATATATTATTTTTCAATGTAAGAATATATTATATCAAATATATTTTGCAAAATTTGTATTATTTGTTTTATCTTCTTGAAGTTTTCAAAGTGACAAAGTTGCAATGATTATGGGTGAAAATAGAAAAAGGTTTTTAATGTACAATTACTACATTGATAAAAACTTTTGTTTTGCCTACTTTTTAATTATTATTTCCTTCTTATTATTTAAGTCAGTTGGTATATGTGCACTTGACTACAACTACCTAAATAAACTATAATTAACAACATTATAATATAGTATAACTGTAAACAAACAACCATATAAGTTAAAATACATTAAACTATTTTTAATGAAGCATTCAAAATTGAATAAGTTTTCAATGGAAGTTTCAAACCTGCTACTTAGACAGCTGTGCCTCAAAATTAGAGCCTTAGATCATCCACTGCACTACACTGCACTACAAAAAAACAAAGCTAATATATATATATATATATATTTACATATACTTACCACAAAAAACCTCCTCTTTCTATAATTTCTTACCCAGTTGTGTACAAACTTGAATGGTCCTGCAAAAAATGTTACATCAGTGAATCAAAATTAAAAATCTCATATTTTCCAGCATCAGAAAAATACATACAAAGGAAAATGGGATTATTTAGCTATAACGCAACATTTAAAAAAGTGTCATGTTAATTTTACATGGAACAATAAAAATATTCTAAAAGTAAAGGTCAACAATTTTAGCAGAAAAGAGGCACTTAAATACGATTCCATGAGAGTGCACCTTCAGACAGCAATCTGAATCAGGATGATGGAGGTTACATCATGACTTCCTTTTGGAAGCCTAGGTTTTGATATTTGAATTAAAAAAAAACTATTGCATTGATTTGTTTTTACTTATGTTTTCTTTTTAACGGCTTTTTATATTTATATTACACTTGATAACAAGAGTATCTATACTCCCTTGAGATATTGTAGTAAAAATCAATTTAAAAATAAAGAGTTACATCGATAGTAGAAGTTTTTATTTAATTATAAAAGTTAATATATAAGTTTATTTATTTTTATAAAATCTTTTTCTTTATCTTTTATAAATTATCTTAAAATATTTTAAAAATAATCCTGATTATTGACAAACCGAATATATTGTTTTATTTTTAATTTTATTAGTTTTGACTTTAATTGTATAATTTTTTATTTGTAATTTAGTGAAAAACTATACAAATAAATATGATTTTTTGATTATGCAACAAAAAGTTCTTCAATATTTTGAAAAAAAAAATCCACCATGGTGTCATATTCAGTATATGATGCTAAGGTGTTATGAATTAAACATGCTTAAAATAAATTATCTGGTCTGCAGATTGCAGCATATGTTATAAAGACTTGAGAACCAAGAAAATGTGGTATTGGTGTAGTGGTAGAGTGCTCGCCTCATAAGCAAGAAGTTCGGAGTTCGAACCCCACTTTGTCCCTGGTAGTACCGCACTCAACTTGTTTCTTTGCGCAGTGGCCTTGTTCGTCAAGGTTCGTGTTTCGAAGTTATAAAGTTGAGAGAGGGTTGTAACCACAACTAAAAAGTAGCCTCCTCGACTGTAGTGGCCTTTTTGGCCTTGGGGAGGTGAAGCATAATAAAAAATATATATATGTAAAAGGCAAGCTTCGACTTAAAGGACAATTTTAGTTTTATTGATATGTATTTATTATCTAGTCTTAATCAAAAAATTTAACCCAGACATTTTTTATAAACATTTTTTTTTATATGAATACAACTTGTCTGGGCTCTTGAAATGATAATCCAAGAAGACATGAAGTAACAGATTCATTGAGAGGTTTGTCATTCATCAATATAGAAATATCAGCAATATTGTGATTTGAATTTAATAACTGAGTTTTGTTGGTGTTAAAATTGACAAGCCACTGCATGTCCCAAAGTATTACAGAATAGAGATTCAAGTTTTGGTGCCTGACTTATGTGATCGAAAAGTGAAGACTTTTTGTCAAGACAGGAGTATAAAATTGAGTTATCATCAAATAGTGGACCAAGATTAAAACTTTGAAGTACCCAAAGGTTTTTGGAAATAAACAAAAGTGTTGAAACTCTATCTTCGAGAATGACTTTAATGCTGTGGTTAGAAAGAAAATTTTATAATCATAAACACTCCCCCAGATACACCACATGAGCCAAACTTTTAGAGAGAAACAGCATGCCTAATTTTATCAAAAGCTTTTGGGTATGTCAAGAGCAATATTCCTTGCCTTGCCTCTTCTATCTAATGCATGATAAGATCTTTCAGTTACAGCAGTTAGCAAGTCATTCATAAAACAAGTATAAAAATTTGAATCAACTGCTATTAGAGTCAAGATGAGAAATTTGTTGATTAAGAATTAAAGCCTCGATAATAATAGTGAATGATCAGATAATAGTTGGAAGGGTCAGAGGATTCTCCAGGTAGCAAAATAAGATTCATTCAAAGCACTTATAAATAAGTTTAAAGAGAGTTTAGGTGAGTTCTAGATTGTTGTCTAGACCACAAGCCATAGAAGAGTTAAGAAATGATTTGAGCAACAGAATATACATATATTATAAACAAAGGGATTTGTATGTCTAAATGGGTTAACTGTATAACTGAAATAGCAGAGCATTACCATTAAATTCAAGAATTGAATTAGAGGAAATGTTCTTTGCAAATAGTTCTGCCTTATCTTGTAGAGGTGAAAAGATCAGGCTCATGAACTAGATATGGAAGATTTAATTTTGCTAATGATACTGTTAAAGGTTTGACCTTATTGAAGATTTGACCTTTGTTAATGACCCTGTTGAAGATTTACAAAAGATTTATTAAATTGAGATCAATTGAGCTTATCATACAGCACCATTATATTTTTTTAGATTAGTTTCTTACAATGGTGAAAACCATGGAATGGAGTTAGGCTTGACTTAAAACAGATGAAAAGGAAAAAAAGCTTCTATACCTGTCTGAATACAGGAGGTTATGCAAGAGGCATATGGTCAAGAAAAAAGGTTTGGTTAATTTTGTAAAAACTTTCTAAAAGAGTGCAGTATTTAGAAGAATGACAAAAATAAAGAACAAAGAAAAAAGTGATTGAGTAAAGAAGTGCCAAGCAAAAGCGCATAATAGAATGGTCAGAGTATTTAAACCTGGTTTTAAACAATCAGATAAATAGAAGCATATGTCTATGCCCAAGCTAAGAATGTGACTATTAAAGTCTTTGCAAATCAAAGGATAATAACCATCAACACTGAGGTTCAAACAAGAAACAGCCGAATTCAAAGTAGTCTCACAAAGAGCAAGTAAGTCTGGCAAATTTTGCAAGAGGTAAGATTAGGCTCTTGGAATGTGAAAACTACAAATATTTGTAAAAGAATGAAACATTAGTGGTGATGGTTTTTTATGTCTAATGCTTTTTGGGTGTGTTGATTTTAGATTTTTATTACATTTTAGGTTATGATTCAAGTTGAAATAAATTCAACTTGATAATAAATAGAGTGTGGCACCTCAAGCAATGAGCTAAGCAGTTGGGTCAGTCCTATCTTATTACCAAAAATTTGTAATTTAAGGCTCCTGTTACCTCGACAATGCACACCAAAAGCACTAACAAGGACACAACTTCAAATATAAGAAAAACTTAAACCATTCTACAGTTTTAGATCTAAGATTCAAACTTAAATATGCCACATCAAATGAGAAAAATCTAATATTATCTGTAAAAATGCATATATAAGACCAATACATTAAACTGAACACATTTTTAAGATAGGGCTATCTTCTATTACGGATATACGTCTATTATTTTAAAAATACAGAGTGCACAGCAGCAAATAACTATAATGTAGCTAGTCATTAGTGGTAGACTAGTGTACTAGCTTGTAGACTAGACTAGTACACTCATCATTCAACCTAGTTAATAGTACAATCAATTAATGTATATTTTGATTGAATGGTTCATATGTAATCAAATAAAAGTTACAAGAATAAAAGTTAGACTTTAAAGTCTCTATACCTTAGCTACTTTAACTTATTATGTAAATAACTTGTCAAAAAACTGATAATGATAGACCATTCAATATCCTCGAAAGATAAACATCTAAATTTGTTTCTCTAAATATCTTATTCATGTTTTTAAAGATTTTAATTATTCGACATTTTTACCTACAACAAAACAAAGGTGAATTCACATTTATGTAAAAAAAAATACTAATCTTAAATGACAACTTGAACTACTTATAGGCATTTAATACACGAAAGGGGGCGTTTATTAATTTTCATAAATTTTTCCACCCATACTAAAATTTATTAGAACCTTCCCCGCCCTCTTGTTTATTGATTTTTACTTGTTATCAACAAGAAAACATCGCAAAACTAAAAATCAAAAAAATTTAATATTGTTGAAATTATGATGAAACATCTGTTGAAATATGTTCCTTTCACCGTAAGCCACACTAGAAATAAATTGTTTTAATTGTGTTCTGTAAAAATCTCCCATCCACCCTTTAATTAAGAATAGGGTGTCAAGAAGTTTTTTACAGTTGTTCTGTAAAAAATTCACCTCCCACCCCCAACCCCCTGTTTATCACAGCTGGAATAAAATTCCCACCACTTTCTTTTTATTCCACCCCCCTTGTATTAAGCACATGTACCTAATAAGTTACTATTTTTATCTAACAATTTGGATAGTACTTTAATATAAAAAGAATTTGGCTCAAGTTCCAAAACATATATTTTTTCTATGGTCTGCAGTGTTCAGTAATAATAGAACAATTTAAAGCTTGTAAAATAACTATAATATAATAATTTGTTTTTATTAAAACAAAAACAATATACAAGCAAAAGATAGAAATATATCGATTTGCTCCATATCTAAATTTAATGTAAAAGTTTTTGTTTATTAGGAGTAATATATTTGATAAATCATTTAGAGATTTCAAATTCACCAGAAATTACTCACAGATTTTCTTCCAAGAAAGGTAACAATAATATTTGGTTTTTACAAATTACTCAGTATTTACTTTATTCTAAAATGATTATAAACAATCAGTTTTCATTGTGTTTTGTTTTCTTAAAATGTGTGATAAAAACTGTCAAATTTTAGTTATTTTTGTGATTTTTTGTTTATAGTATTTTTAAAAAATGCAAAAATATACATTTAAGGACTGTAAAGCCTAAGTAAAATAAAGAAAAAATTCGGAAGAGAGAAAATTGAAAAGAAATTTGAACAGATGCTCAGAACAAAACAAAGACACTATAGTAAAGTGTATATTAAAAAAATAATAATGATAATTTAGATATCAAGCATTTAATAAAAATGATAAACATGCGCAAGGTCTAAATGTAATAGATTATAAAATATGAAATTTAACGTGATTTGAACCATGAACTTTCAGTTTATCAGGCCGACGCTCTAACCGATAGCAAGCAACAACGATAGTTGTTGCTTGCTATCCAAAAATTCTATCCAACAGAGATAAATTAATATTTTAGTTATATTTGATGCAAGTAGTCTGCCGTGCTTGAACTAGACTGAGCAATGAAAGCCCACAGATAAACATGAAACATTTCTATTGAAAAAATCTTTTACATAAAGGAAGATAAGTAATAAAAACAAAGAAAAACAAACAGATAATCATAATAAAACACAGATTTATTTGAAGGAGAAAAAACACAAATCATAGTCAACAGTAGTTTTATTATTATAGCAGACCAAAAACAAAACAGGACATACAAGAACACAAGTAACCTTAAATCTTCATTAAATACAAAAGTTTAACTTACTTTAAAACAAATATATACATATGCTTAGATATATCAATGATTAAAATAAAATAAATTAAAATAAATATAAAATGATAGGAGGTATAAGATAAAGAAAAAACGTTTTCGTAATCATGATTTATGTAGCGGTGTTAACAAAACTTTCCTCAGAATTGCATTTATTATTACCAGTATTTCGAAGAGGCTCAGTACCAATACATAGTTTATCCGAATAATCAGGATAATATCATCTCCATTTATGCTTTATTCTTTGATTTACACCTGCTCCATACTGCAGTAAAATAAGACTTCACAAGAAACAGCCAAAACCCTAACTACACTTAAATTTGTAAAGCATTTATATTTTTAACAAAATATTATGGAAAGTAAAAAATGTGAATTCAATATCAAATAACTTACGATATGAAAAGTAACTAAAATAAAATATTAAATATTAATCAATAAAAATAAGTTTAATTTAATAATTTAAAAATAAATTAATAAATAAAAGTTTACCATATCAGTGGTAGAAAATTGGTTAAAATAGATAAATAGAAAATAATAAACAACAAAATGATAAGTTCTAATAAAAAAACACAAATTAATACACAACACCGCCCATGTAAAATGCGTTATAAAATAAAACTTTATTAAAGCCACAACTAGTTGCTGGTACTTTTAGGAGAAATACATTTACAAAACCAATAAGACAGAGAAATCAATGTAAATTAGGAAGAAACAAAACCATACAAAGTTTATAAAAAACACAGTCATTTTAAAAGACTTTCTGCCCATAATGGTAACAATAATATTTTGCTTTTTCAAATTTCTCAGTATTTACTTTATTTCAAAATGATTATTAACAATCAATTTTCAGTGTGGTTTGTTTTCTTAATCACCGTAACTGTTATTAGCATGACTTTCATTACAGTGTTGTGAGAATAATGTCAAGTTTATTACTTTTTATGTTGTTTAAAAAAAAAAACATTTTCCTTTTTTAATGAAAATGCATTTTTATGTTAACTTAGTTTAATTGCTCATTTTATCATTGTTACAATTTATTAATTTTGTTCATTGTGTCAGTTGTTCATATAAGTTTATATCATTTGTTGTTCATGTAAGTTCATCTCATTTGTTGTTCATGTAAGTTCATATCATTTGTTGTTCATGTAAGTTCATATCATTTGTTGTTCATGTAAGTTCATCTCATTTGTTGTTCATGTAAGTTCATATCATTTGTTGTTCATGTAAGTTCATATCATTTGTTGTTCATGTAAGTTCATATCATTTGTTGTTCATGTAAGTTCATCTCATTTGTTGTTCATGTAAGTTCATCTCATTTGTTGTTCATGTAAGTTCATCTCATTTGTTGTTCATGTAAGTTCATATCATTTGTTGTTCATGTAAGTTCGTATTATTTGTTGTTCATGTAAGTTCATATCATTTGTTGTTCATGTAAGTTCATCTCATTTGTTGTTCATGTAAGTTTATATCATTTGTTGTTCATGTAAGTTCATATCATTTGTTGTTCATGTAAGTTCATATCATTTGTTGTTCATGTAAGTTCATCTCATTTGTTGTTCATGTAAGTTCATATCATTTGTTGTTCATGTAAGTTCATATCATTTGTTGTTCATGTAAGTTCATATCATTTGTTGTTCATGTAAGTTCATCTCATTTGTTGTTCATGTAAGTTCATCTCATTTGTTGTTCATGTAAGTTCATATCATTTGTTGTTCATGTAAGTTCATCTCATTTGTTGTTCATGTAAGTTCATCTCATTTGTTGTTCATGTAAGTTCATATCATTTGTTGTTCATGTAAGTTCATCTCATTTGTTGTTCATGTAAGTTCATATCATTTGTTGTTCATGTAAGTTCATATCATTTGTTGTTCATGTAAGTTCATCTCATTTGTTGTTCATGTAAGTTCATATCATTTGTTGTTCATGTAAGTTCATCTCATTTGTTGTTCATGTAAGTTCATCTCATTTGTTGTTCATGTAAGTTCATATCATTTGTTGTTCATGTAAGTTCATATCATTTGTTGTTCATGTAAGTTCATATCATTTGTTGTTCATGTAAGTTCATATCATTTGTTGTTCATGTAAGTTCATATCATTTGTTGCTTTAAATAAATACTTTAATACAATGCTCACTTAATTTAATATTTTCAATTGTTAATAAAGCAACATTTATTAACATTGCATTATTGAAAATATAACTGTAAACTTTGTTATTTGGCACTGCTTATGTTTTGATTCATCATTTTTCCCAATGAAAAACATAAACAGTCTATTTTAAAAATATTTGAGTAAACAATCAATATTACAACACAAGATTTAAATCTTGCTTATCTATGATTTTTCATTATAATTTATTTGGTTTACCATTACCAGAACTTTTATGATTGGATATTTAAGGGGTAAACAGATTTTATCTGTTGACCAGCTTCACACCCCTTCTTCATCTATTAGGCTGGCATAGATGTATTCATAATACATTGTTTCCAGTTTGACATGTTGAATGCTGGAACTTCTTGCATTCAACTCATTGCATTCAACTCATTGCATGGGTTTTGTCTCTTATGACTAGGCAACTTATTCTATTATCTCCTAATGAGGGTACAGCTCTAAAACTCAGTTTTATGGTTCTATTTATTATAGGCTGTTTATTATAGGCTTCACTCCAAAAGAATCACAAAAGTCATTACACAAAAAAGTATGATAAAAACTGTCAGATTTTAGTTATTTCAGTGATTTATTTTTTGTTTCATTTTAGTGTTGTAAGAATATTTTACATCAAGTTTATTATTTTTTTATGTTCTTTTAAATAAATTCTTTCTTTTTTTCTATAAAACTTAAGATTTAGTTTAAATTTAATTAATATTATGGGGGGAGGGGCGGTACTTAGGGAAATGACTTAATTGTGACTAATTAAAGAGAAGAATGTTTCTATTAAAAATTAAATTTTTTTTTTAATTAAATTTTGCTGAATAGCAACACATGAACAGTGAATGCCTCAGAAAATGAATTTCACTTCCTTAAGAGAGAATTATATTTTGAACAAAGCGCATTTAGACAGTTGTCAAGACAAAAATATTTATTTTTGTCTTGACAACTGTCTAAATATGCTTTGTTCAATCTTTAAAGATTAATATAAGGAAAGTTAAAATAATACTAATATGACAAAAGCACACAGACAAAGCAACCAAACAATACTTACAAACATAAAAAAATACATAACTTCTTATAAAAAGTAAAAATGAAGAAAGATATACAGCAATTATTGTTCACCAAACTAAAACAAAGATAACAAAAAAGTAATTGCAAAATAAAACATATAAGGTATGACTACATTGCCTTACAGCTCTTTACACTGGTCTCTTATGAGACTGAGCCCAATCTAGAGCTTTCCCTGCTGTCTTATGTAAGAGATTTTCTATGCATAGGTGTCTAATCCATTGAAGGCTTTTTGATGTATGACTGGTGCCTCCCACATTTTTTTCGGGTTTATATTCATTCTTGTAACTGGCCTCTGATTGGAATTATCTTAACATAACACTCAGCAAGGACTTATATCATACCAATCTATCCATTTTCATTGCACATATGGCAGATGTCTTGTTTATCCTCAAGACTAGCTACTTCTATTGTTACTGTTGCCATTCATTAGTTCTATGTTTTTAAGTTGTTAAATTCTTGTCATATGGTCCAGGTTGCATTTTTAGTCATTTACTTTGTTTGATGTTGCTTAGATCTGTATGTTGTTAATCTTGTTTTCGTTTCATACTGTAATTTTTTGTACCATATGCTAGCACTATCCACTATTCTTTTATTTATTCACCAGCAAAACATCAAGGAATACAGGCTTACCGCATTAAACAACACATACATTCAACTCTTTCAGAATGAAAGATATTTTGTATATTTTATTTTTTTTAGTTTCCATCTCACTAGTGCTATTTTGTCATAACTTACCTATGGTCACATATTTTGTATCTTTAGTTTTATTTAGATTTATTGATTACAGCGCAAGATTTTTGTGATTCTATTATCCTATTCTTTAGGTTGATAGATCAATTTGTTATGCTTTCACACTGTTGAGTCTTCTTTTATGTTAATTTAATTTTCTTGGCAACTATTGTTTTTAATCTAACGTCTCTCAGCAAGCAATCCTAGTTACATTCTGAGATATGCCTGATTTGTTTACTGTTTA